ACATCGAAGCACATAAACCGGATTTCGATTGAATCCCAAATCACTTTTACTTCATAAATCGTAATTATTGATGAGGTTGGGACATGCAAAAGGATTAATTCCTGTTTATTTTGGGATTATGCGTTTATTAACAGCAAAAAAGGAGAGATTCACAATGTAGTTCTCATATGCAATGCCGAGCGGTTTCTATTGAATTCTATAATATTGCCTGAATGCTGGTGGACATTGTGATTTGGATTTTTCTAATAACTGTCGGAATTGTTGATGCTACTTACGGTAAATTTTCTGGTCTCTACCAAACCCCTTTCAAAAAATGCGGTCCTCGATGACTCAGCTAGGCACATCGCTGTACTAGTCATCATTTCTTTCCAAACAAATGCCTTTACTCACCATGAATTTGTTGTAGATTATCAATGCTGGAATCCAAAGTCAACTGATGAGTACAGACAGAAATTCCTCACACAAATTAACATCAGAAGAAAGGGCATTGCTGACGGAGAGGCAGAAAACCAATATGGTTTGTTACCAAAGGGGAAGAACATATACATGCTAGTAAGTTCTTGCAGTCTACTTTCTGAAAAGTTAAAATACAATTTCAGTATTACTGGTGCGATTTAGAGCTGTTAGCCCAAGAAATTGCTGACAAATGTGATGTCAGTGCCCGCGCTCCGGTGGGTTACTCGCGGGTGATAGCAAGGTTAGCTTTTACTAATGCTACAAGCATGTTTACTGTTTGTTTCAACATCTAGGATTTCTCCAAGTACTAGCAATACTTTGGGTCTAGCCGATGAGTCGATAAAGCAGTGGTGGGATGAAAGTTCAAAAATTATTGATAACAATTCAACCATGATTGCCACAGAGGATTCGAGAGCTTTTGCAACGGCAAGCTTTTCCGCCTTTGATCACATGCACTTCAATTTTTAGTCTTTGTTCTTACAATCAGCTTGCCAACGGGAAAGCCAGAAAGCTCGGATGTGCACAAAATTCATGTGGAGAAGATTTCTACGCAGTTTGTGTGCTAGATGCTATGTAAGCCATGCTTTTTGGACCCAAAAGTGTTGAAAGATTGCAGAACACCTGCCATTGGCGAACAAATTTATGAGACTGGGACCGGCTGCACGACTGACGCTGAGTGCACGACTTTTGTGGGCTCCACTTGCGATGTTGATATCAACCAGTGTGTAGGAGGGTTACCTGGACCAGTCGAAGAAGAAAACGAAAACTCAATCGATACTACATTGTCACCATTAGCAACAACTTGTTGGTGCGCACCGATAAGTACGACGGGAACAATATTGACATCAAAGACAACTTTAATTACTACGAGACCTATGACAACTACAGCAACAACGTCTACGAAAGCTTCTACAACAACACCAACAACTACAACGACTACTACGAAGAAACCAACAACGACAACAAAAACTACTTCTACAACTACCCCTAAGACAAC